CTTCATAGTATCCTGATTTTATCCTTTTTATTTCAGTTGGTTCTGTTGTGATGTCACCCATTTCGTTTCTTATTTCTTCCTTCTATTTTTAATCCAACTATTGGACAATGTACTGGGCAAATATGTATGCTGAGCAAATAAACTGAGAAACTGGACTATATGAAGAGGAACGTGGCATCAGAATTGGAGGAAGACTCATGAACAATAAGCAGATGACACAACCTTTCTCGCTGAAAATGAAGATGACTTGAAGCACTTACTAGTGAAGATCAAAGACTACAGCCTGCAGTATGGGTTACACCTCAACATAAAGAAAACAAAAATCCTCATAACTGGATCAATAAGTAATATCACAATAAATGGAGAAAAGGTTGAAGTTGTCAGAGATTTCATTTTACTTGGATCCACAAACAACACCCATGGAAGCAGCAGTCAAGAAATCCGATGTCATATTACACCAGGCAAATCTGCTGTAAAAGACCACTTTAAAGTGCTAAGAAGCAAAGATGTCACTTTGAAGACTAAGGTTCACCTAACCCAAGTCAAGGTATTTTTAATCGGCTCATATGCATGTGAAAGCTGGACAATGAATAAGGAAGAACCAAAGAAGCTGATGCCTTTGAATTGTGGTATTGGTGAAGAACACTGAACATACCACAGACTGCCAGAAGAATGAACAATCTGCTCTGGAAGAAGTGTGGCTGGAATGCTCCTTAGAAGCAAGACTGGCCAGGCTTTGTCTTACCTACTCTGGTTATGTTGTCAGGACCATTCTCTGAAGAAGGGTATCAGGTTTGGTAGAATAAAGAGTCAGTAAAAATGGGGAAGACCCTCAATGAGATGGATTGATACAGTGGCTGTAACGATGGGCTCAAGCATGGCAGGGATTGTGAGGAGGGCACATGACCAGGCAATGTTTTCATTCTGTTGTTCATAGGGTCGCTATGAACGCATGGTAGCATCTAACAACAAACAAGAATGGGATAATCCCCTGGTAGGTGATGCACTCTAACGAAACCTATCAATTTTGCCTCAAAAATATCTTTGCAATATATTCACATCCATCATCTCACTGCTTTAGTTTTGGTCCTCAGAATTCCTTTCCTAGACTTCAGCAGTCAGTTCCTTTATTGGTCTTAACAATGACAATATCCTCATTTTAATCCATTCTCCACATGGTAAGCAGCAATCTTTTTCTGGTATAAAATCTGATTTTGCTATTCTCCTGTTTGAAAATCATTTCAAGATCCTGGTTGGATATAGAACAAAAGATCCAAATTTAACACTAGTATTCAAAGTAATTCATGATATAGACAATGACATCTTCAGTTAGTCTCCTAAGAATCTTGAAAAACTATTTCTAAAAAAGGATAGATAGGAATATTTAATACTTTGAATCTTTGTTTATTCTTCTCCCTGGCATGCCATCCTGCCTTAAATATTTTCTTTCCTGATCTTTATTCTCTTCACCACAACGAAGAGATATAACTTGAGTAAAGATAAAATGGAATACTCAAACAAAATAGAAGGGAATGGTGTTTTTACTAGAAAAAACAAAGAAGCATCAAAATTTTTATCTTTTTTACCTCAGCTGTGCTACAGAAAAACACCTTAGAAATTTCTTCTGCTTGCGAAAGCCAAACAGACACCATGCAGCAGCCTAGAGGAAAGGGTACATGAACGAGGAATATTCACACCTGCTTCTAGTCTAGGCCTAAGTACAACAGAGTCTTAAGGTTCAGGCTTGGTTCACTGGTATCAGAAGTATTCTTAGTGCCACACACCCCTACGAGAACCAGGGTGAGATGAGCAACATCTTCACATCTGACAAGACTACCAGATAACATAAATATACATCAAATAAAATAACAATATAAAATACTGCCAGTTTTGAAAGATGTTTTGGTAAGTAAGAACCACCACTAGGCAATTACTTCAAGCCCAAGTTTCTTAAATGTAAACTATTTCTGATCTATACAACTTCATTTCTGTACCTAGGAATTTCTAAACATCTTTTCCTTATTCCATCCTACCTTTAAAACCCACATAGGTTCATGGAAGTTAGAGGAATTATTTTCTAAGTCTGCTCAGAACTCTGATAGTGTGGACTAGCCCACAGTGCAATGTATATAATCAATATGAAAGTATATTGGGTGTGAACTCTACTTTTTCCCCATTCTAGTGTATTGAGAACCTGTGGGTAAAAAACAAATGGTTTTTAACAAATATGTGTCAGTGATTATTTCTAACCTGGAATTTTCTATGATTTCAGTATTTCCCAGATATGTAATGCCTATGACGACAGTTTAAACATTTTCATATAAAAAGTTTAAGAAGTCAGCTTCTCAATCACATCTGTTTATTCATTTCTTACCTGAGAGAGGCAGAATTTGTAAAGAGGAAATGTTTTTCACACTCTGTAATTGTTCTAATTCTTGATGATTCACTGCTAATTGGTAGTGATTTGGTGGTATTCCACATGAATGTGTGGTCTGAGGAATAGAGATCGTGTCTTGCACAGAAGATTGTATCTGCTAAGACAAAGTAAAAACAATTATCTCTCAGAATTTTAACCACACAAGAAATTTAAATAAGGAAATATAGACTAAAAAAGAAAGAATGTAATTCAATAACACTACTTGTATACCATATCATTTAAGTCATACAACCCTGTGAGGTATAATAATCTCTACCTTACAGATGAAGAAATTAAAGTTTAGAAAGATTAAATAACTTGGCCATCATATCGCTCATAAGAAGTAGAATTTAGTCAAGGCCTATGAACTAAGTGACTAAAGCACATAGATATATGCTATTAAACAGTGCTAATCTGGTAGCGTAGCGTCTAAGGCACTTGACTGCTAACCAGAAGGCTGGCGACTGAAACCCACCAGCCGCTCCTCGGAAGGAAGGTTGGGCAATCTACTTCTGTAGTGATACCGCTTTGGAAACCAAAAAGGGGTCGCTATGAGTCGGGTCCGACTCGATGGCACATAACAACAACTCATTTTCTAAAGGAGCCCTGGTGGCTAAACAGTTAAGCGCTCAGCTGTTAACCGAGAAGGTGGTACTCTAACCCAATTTGTTCCCATAAAGATTAAAGCTTAGAAAGCCCTCAAGTTAGTTCTACTCTGTCATAAGGGGCTGCTGTGAGTTCAAATTGACTCTAGGGCACCTAACAATAACTCATTTTTAAATGCTTTCCAATCAGCTACTGAAAATAACAACTGAGTTTTTATACCAAATCTGGAGACCAATCCATTGTCTTTACTCCCTTTTCCTTATTCAGTTACAGACATAAGGAAGGAATTTAAAAATCAACAAATTCTGATTCAGTATTCAGTTAACCAGTAAAAGTTGTATTGTAATAATAAACATTTATTTAATGCTTACTATGTGAGGCATCAGGCTAAAGCCTTTATATATGTTTTCTTAAATAATCCTATGAGTTAGGTATAATCGTTATCCTTATTTGCAGTTTATAAGAGAATTTCGAACTAGTACAAGTAACTTTCCTAAGATCTCGCACCTATCCAATGACAAGGTAAGTTACAGTATCAAAGGCCAGGTACTTAACCTATTAAACTTTGAGTTGTATATAGAACAGAGATGAACAGTATGGTCTTTTCCCTCAATCTTATAAGGGAGTTGGGAATGAGTGGGTAAATAAGGCAGTGTATATATAGCACCTATGTTAAACAAAACACTCTGCCATTGAGTTGATTCCTACTCATACCAACCCCCCTTGGGTTTCCAAGGCTGTAAACCTTCATGGAAGTAGATTGCCCATCTTTCTTCCACGGAGCAGCTGGCGGGTTTGAACCACTGACCTTCTGCTTAGCAACCAAATACCTTATTCACTGTACCACTAGAGCACTTTTTATAGCCTGATAAAATGAATTCCATAGCAATATTTATCCCAACAATAATGTAGACCCAAGTCCAAAGCTTAAAGGCAAAGGCTGAGGTTTAAATAAGCAAAAGGTCACTTTCCAAAATACATAAGGATACTTATTATTTAATCTATAAATTAATATATACTCTCTTTTATTACAAATGGACATTTTCTCAGTGAGCAAAACATTTTGGCCACAAGTAGGTAGGTCATAATGAAGGTTGGGCAATCTACTTCTGTAGTGATACTGCCTCGGAAACCCAAGGAGTCGCCGCTATGAGTTGGATCCAATTTGACGGCACATAATAACAACAACAATGGGGCAAAGTTATGATAACTTCTTAGTCACAGCCAAACACTCTTGAGGGAGTGAGACACTGGCCCATTGGCTCGAGACTATGGTCATGGGGGATGGGGATATCAAGCTCAACTGGCATAACATTCTACACAAAAACATTTTTCTGCATCCTACTTTGGTGAGTAGCGACTGGGGTCTTAAAAGCTTGCAAGCAACCATTTAAGATGCAACCACTGGTCTCTCCTCAGCTAGAGCAAGGAAGAATAAAAAAAACCAAAGACATATGGAAACAATTAGTCCAACAGACTAGTGGACCATGTGAACCTCAGCCTACATGACCCTGAGACTAGAAGCACGAGATGGTGCCTGGCTACCACTGTCAACCACTCAGAAGGAATCGAAATAGGAGATTCTGATAGAGTGGGAACAAACTGTGGAACAAAACTCAAAATCATAAAAAAGACCAAGGTTACTGGTCTGATCGAGACAGGTGAAACCCCTGAGACTATGGCCTTTAGTTTCTCTTTGGGCCTGGAATTGAACTCACTCCTGTGGCTTCCAGACAAACAACAGACAGGCATATAGACAAACATTTGTACAGGTAGGTACACTCCTTAGAACAATCAACCATGGAGGAGCAGAATGGCAGTATTTGCTGTACAGGGAGACAGCTCAGAGAGCAGGAATGCATAGGAAAGAAGGATACAGGAAGGAAATGAGAAGAGAGCTGTTAGATTACAGGGATTGCAATCAACGTCATGAAACAAAAAGTGTATGAACTATTACATGGAAAATGAATTTGCTCTGTAAACTTTCACCCAAATCACAATGTAAATAAATAAATAAAAATAAACTATTTGTGATACTGCCCTGAAAACCCAAGGAGGGGTCGCTATGGGTCAGGTCTGACTCAACGGCACATAACAACAACAACAACATTTTTCAAAAAACACACACACAAAATAGGCCATGATGGAGGTATTCTACATAGTATATATGAGAATGCTTTCAAAGTTCTTTCTTAATTTGATATGGTTTTCTGATTCTACTGGCAAGACAGACTCTCTGAATCTTCTTCTTACTCAACAGCCTTTGAGAATTTAGTCCCTACCATATTGTTTTTGCTAGCTAATGTCCAATTGGTCCTTGACTTATGGTGACCCTGTGTACAATGGGATCAGACCATTGTGATCTGTAGGGTTTTCACTGGCAGATTTTTTTGGAAGTAGATCACCAAGCTTTTTTTCCTAGTTTGTCTTAGTCTGGAAGCTCTGCTGAAACATAATACCAACACGGAAGCCTCCACTGACAGACAAGTGGTGGCTACAGCTTGAGGTGCATTGGCTGGGTGTCAAACCTTGGTCTTCTTTGGAAGATGAGAATTCTATCACTGACCCACCACTGCCGTCTCCTACCAAACTAACTGTAATTCACCTAGAAAGAAGCAGCTCTGGTGGTGTAGTGCCTAAAGCACTTGACTGCTAACCAGAAGGTTGGCAAACCCACCAGGCACTCAGAAGGAAGAGTGGGCAATCTACTTCCGTAATGATTTACTGCCTCGGAAACCCAAAGGGGGTTGCTATGAGTCAGAATTGACTGGATGATAGTAAGTTTTTTTTTTTTTTTTTGGTCACTTAGAAAGAGCCCTGGTGGTGCAATGGTAAAGCACTCAGCTGCTAACCAAAATGTTGGAGACTTGAACCCATCTAGAAGCTCCTGGTGGAAAGAGACCTGGTGATCTGCTCCTGAAAAGATTAAAAACTAAACTCACTGCCATTGAGTTGATTTGACTCATAGAGACCCCTTCTTGGTTTCCAAGGCAGTATTTCTAAGGAAGTAGATTGCTCAATCTTCCTTCTGAGGAGCGGCCAATGGGTTTGAACTGCCAGCCTTCTAGAATACCCTAAGGCACCTAACATCAACAATGCATTTAGGTATTCAAAGTACTCCCTTTTATAATGCCCAAGCCATCTAATCCCCGGCTTCCACAAATACCCTGTTATTATATTACCTTGACTACACCTGCTGTGCTTTTTGCCTCTCCTCTTGTCTTTGCTCAAAAAATAAACCCTTAGTCTGCCCTTAATCTGTCTTCCTTTTCCTATCCTTTAAAATTCAGTTTAAGCATTACTTCCTCAGGAAGCCTGTCCCTCCTTCAGGCAATATGTACTCCTTTCCCATTTTCTTAATAGATCTTTAATATAGATTGTTATAACACTAAAAAGAGCTCTAGTGGGGCAGTTTGTCTCCAGGAAGAATGTGGCCGAAAGCAGATTATGCTCACACAAAGAGCTAGGGAACTTGCCTGAGTGTGTCCTTTTCTAATTTAAGATTGAGGTCTTGGGATTGTTTGGTAGCCACCTTGTGGCTAAGACTCAGGGTGCACGGTGATGAGTTATATCTAAACCACCACCTAGCCAGGTGGTCAAGGCCTAGAACCAATGTAACCCTTTTCTTTCTTCAGTTATGTACATATCCCAATCATGGTCTTCCTCCCCACCCCCACCCCCCAGTCCCACCAGCAACAGTGATGACTCGATCTACCATCAATCATGATTATGTGATGATTCCCTTTGTTTTCAATCATATATAATTAGCCCCATGGCCATGACTCAGCAGACTCCATTCAGCTTTCTGTACTGTGTACATGCTGATGGTTTCCCTCATCCTGGATGACTGTCTTTGTTTTGTCTTTGTCCTTTCCGAGGCTTAATAAAAAATGTTTCTATTGAACCTGTTTGAATCTGGGGTCTCTTTTCCCCTATTACAATACCCATCCCAAATACAGAATTATAGTAACTTTATTCAACAACATAAAAAACAAAACCCACTGCTATCAAGTCCGTTCTGACTCACAGTGACCCCCCATTGGGTTTCCAAAGTGGTAAATCTTTACAGAAGTAGATTGCCCAGTCTTGCTTCTGCAGAGTGGCTGGTGGGTTTGAACCACCAACCTTCTGGTTAGCAGTCAGATGCCTTAGGCACTGTGCTACCAGATTTAACAACATGAGGAATATAAAAATAGGGAATCCCCTCTTGACCAAAATGAAAAACTAAACCCACTGCCACTGACTCAGATCCGACTCACAGCGACCCCTCCCTGGGTTTCTGAGGCAGTATCACTACAGAAGTAGATTGCCCAACCTTCCTTCCAAGGAGTGGCTCGTGGGTTTGAACCGCCAGACTTCTGGTTAGCAGTCAAATGCCTTAGGCACTGGTTTAATGGTCGAAAAGAACCCAAATGGTGTCTGAAACTTGCCGCCTGAAACTTGAGTCCAGCCTCAAAATAGAGTTAGGCTCCCACTGCAGACCACAGCATTCCACAACTCAAGTACTTTAGAATTTAAGTTCTAATACAGTATAAAGGATTAAAAAAAACAAAAAATTTTATGAAGATGACTACCTGAATTAGTTTTTTTAAAAAAATTACTTTTATCCTTTACAAAGCATGCCGACTACTAATCCAGCATAAACCCATTGCCATTTAGTCGATTCTAATTCACAGTGACCCTATATCAAACACAGAACAGCTAAAACTGATAGCTGGCAATTACAAGCTTTATCTTTAGAAACTCTATTATTCCCATAGTATTATTTATTTATTTTTTAAAGAAACTCCAACTTAGTATGCCCATAGTACTGTGTACATATGGACATAGCAAGGCTATCCTTTGCATCTAGATTCCCAAGGCTAAGCAGAATTTCTAGAATTTATTCTACTAATCTATTTGACTTATATGACAGTTATATCCTGTTAGAAAAAAATGAAGCCAAACAGTTTCTCTATTCAATCTTCTTTAGAAAGAAAACTTTAAGCATTTAGTTGATAAAAAACCACTAAACGCAACCACTGCCCCACGTGGAGTTGAATCCAACTCACAGTAACCCCTACTTGGGTTTCTGAGGCAGTATCACTACGGGAAGTAGATTGCCCAACCTTCCTTCCAAGGAGTGGCTGGTGGGTTTGAACCGCCAGCCTTCTGGTTAGCAGTCAAATGGCACTATGCCACCAGAGCTCCTGGTAATAAGCGTTTAGTTGATAAGCGGAAAAAAGGGACAACTCTTTTCATGTAAGTCCACTAAGAAAGCTACTACTTACTGTACCAGTGAGTTATAACATATGTATTTGATAAAGTCTGAAGTACAAATAATTAACTTACCTTTACATTCTCTTTAGAAGGTGAATCATTCTGTTTTACTCCAGTAAATTTAGGAAATATTCCTGCAAGTGTACATAAATAAGTATTTCAATACTTGCCAGTTAAAGAAATTAACATCTAAGTCAGCAATAACATGGTGATGTCAAGAGAATTCTTTTAATACCAACTTCTTAAATCAAGAAAATCTTAATAGTCACAGGGTTTCACCCTTTTTGAGTCAGTCACAATTGCTAAAGGGTCACTAGTTTTTAAGGTACTTTCTTTTCTACATAATGGAATAAATATTCACTCCCAATTTTCAATTTGGTTTATGTTTAGGCAAAAAAGAACAGTGTGCTACTTTCAAGTAAAGAGCTTGAATAAATGACAGCTTCAAAAGGAACAAGTTACAACAGAGATGATAAAGTTTTAAACAAGAAGTACCAATTATATTAAAATCATCTTTTTTTACCAAATAGTTAATACATATAATCATAAGAGGTTTAATTAAAATAATTGAGAATTTATTATGAGAAGGGTATGGTCATTTATCTGAGTGGAAATACGCTTTTATTAAAAGTGAAGCTATTTGATCTCTGTGGTAAGGTGTGCTCTGCTTGCTACGTGCTGTAAGAAATATCCCATATAATTAAAACTGTGTTTATTTCCAAGCTGCTTGGCAGCCTCAACTATATAACAACAAATGAGTTTTACAGTACATAGTACCTCCTTTACCTTTAGAAATACCTTTGCAGCCAACACTGGGAGTAGAAGGAGATGTAAAAAGAGATCTCTGTCAGAGTATGCAGCAGTCCCTCTACCTTCACACTACCATTGATTCTGGTGCTATCCTGCCCAATCACAAGCCTAAATCGGTGTGGCAAAGCATCAAGCTGGTAGTCATTGCCTTGATCCATCTCTTCAGGCCAACTTTCATGAACCACCTGAGTGCTACTTGTTCCAGGCTTCCAGGGCACCAAGGCTGGTCAACACCAAATATTATTCAAACTTAAAATTCTAATTGTAATAATTACCTTCTGCCTCCTGAAATGCCATCAGTTTCCATTGGATGTGTTACTGTTCTTTCCTCTCCTAAAATGTTTGATGCTGGACATTGTTAAAATTGCTACATGCCACTCAATGACGTGCTTTAATTTAAAGAATCCAAGTATTTAAAATGGTATGAGCCATCTTAATGTCACTCCACTAAGTACTATTAAGTGTCAGAGGGGAAGTGGAAGAGAAAGAGAAGATGACAGCCTGCAAAGATCGAGCATATAGATCCAGGGAGCTTTCACACTTAGGGGAGAAATTATAGTTTCAGCTTTGAACAAAAAAAACAGACTTCATTAATATGATTACATAATATATGCACATCTACGCATCTATTTTAATTATTCAAATATGTACCTAAACTACATTATCCTACAATATAAACTATAATAAAAAAATAAGACATATCACATTAGTGTTGTGTTAAAAAATTCAAGGTTATTACCTTAGTCTTCTGAGATATAAAATTAAAGCTCAAAATTGCTATAAAAATCAGTACTTCCAGAACTGAAAACACTAGCAAAAGGCATCAAAGAATTAACAGAAAAATCAAAACCACCAAGCATAGTATGTCTCATAAAAATCTTACAGATAGATAATGATAGCCAATAACTCAGAAATTTGCTTCTCATTCTAATCTTACATAACTGACTTTCCAGGAGCATTGTTGTTGTTGTTGTTGTTGTTATGTGCCGTCGAGTCGGCCCCGACTCATAGCGACCCCTCCTTGGGTTTCTGAGGCAGTATCACTACGGAAGTAGGATTGCCCAACCTTCCTTCCGAGGAGTGGCTGGTGGGTTTGAACCTCCAGCCTTCTGGTTAGCAGTCAAGTGCTTTAGCCACTATGCTACCAGAGCTCCTTCCAGGAGCATACAGTAAGCTAAAACTGCTGCACCTCTCTCTTTACAAATGAATTTCTGCTCTTTGAAACTAAAAGGCAAACACACACATTTTCACTATCAAGTTTATGTTCACATTTCAATTAGCCAAAAAGCTCTACCAGGTCTAACAAACATCAATTAAATTTAACACTATATTGGTAAAATATATATATATAATTTATTTATATATACAAATTTCTCTGGGGAACCGTGATAATATGCATGCATACCTACCTTATAAGGATCAAATTAGATAATACACATAAACTAATAAATAAATGCCTATTTTACAGTTTACACAATGTGCACATTTCACATCTCCCCAAAATCCTTAATATAAAGCTTTGGTTAGAAACTTTTCATTGTAAACACTGCCAAAAATCATTTAATTACAGAATAAAGAAACAGTTGGTAAGAACCACAGAGATTCAATTAAAGGGCTTACTGAAAACCCACATAGGTCTTGAGATAGACGGTCCAGAGATACCAAATATTATCAGCAAGTTAATTTGAACTAAAAAAAACTTGAAAAGCTGAATAGGAATATAATACCATAATTCAAAACCAGAATACAATGCTGTATGTAGCAGAAATCATTAGTGAAGATTTTTAAATTAGAAAAACAAATTATTTCAGTTATAGAGGACAGATTGTTGAAAAGTGATTTGAAGTTACTATCTGTTCTGCTTCTGTATTTACAAGAAAGCAAATCCACAAATGTTAAATGATTTTCCCAAGTTTATCACCCAAGCCATGTTCTTAGTGACAAAAGGCAAGCAATCTGTTTTTGAACTAAGAAAAATTTGCTCCCTTTAATTCCCATTAAAGAATGTTTTAGCAATTTTCACTGGAGTAACTAAAAAAGCAAAACCAATTATAAAATGCCTGTTACTTTTACCAAGGGCACTGCAACTAGTTAGAAAGAAAAAAAAAAAAATCTAAACCAACTGTTCTCAAACTCGACAGCACGTTGCAATCACCAGAGACATTTATAGACCTCATTTCTGATTCAATTAAAAGCCACAATATTGTATTGAAAAGTTTTCCAGGTAATTGTAATGTACTGCACTAATGTTGAGGAACATTCTAGATAGACTTTTTTATTCAAGATTCAGTTTGAACACAAAAATTTAAAAATGTATAAGGCAATATTTATCACTATTTCTAAGACCCAATGCTGGAGTATAGGCCTCAATATATACATTTTTATTAAGCTACAGTCCCTGAATTTTATCCTTCTAGCAGTCTAAACCAAAGTGCTTTGATGAGAAGTTAATTAAAGTTAACCAATATTTTAAATGATGAACTCAATTGTCTGTCTATAAACTTACTAGCCTGAAGGAAAAGATTATTCCAAGACTGTCATTGCAATACTTCCTGCATTTACTAAACCATCATTCTAAAAAATAAAACAAAACCTAGACTTGAACCAAGTTAGCCCTTTAGCTTTTGCATGGGAAGAAAAAAAGAAAAAAAATCACATTCTTGTCCCTTCTATAGGTGGCCTGATCATTATACTAAAACCAACAAAAGTAAAAAGTCCAAAGGGTAAGTGACAAATTTACTTTAAGTCTAACCAAGTTAAAAAAAAAAATAGTGAACCGATGCTGTAACATTGTGTTTCTTTGTGTTTAACTGTTGAATAATTGAAAGCGAATATTCCTGAAAAATATTCTCTTTCATACTAATAGCTTACGTTTAGACAGTTCCTGGAGTTGTTTCCTGTAAGATTTCAATCAAAAGTACTGCTACTGTTGAGCTATATTTGATTGCTTTTCCTCAGCAACATTTATGTCATAGGAATAAAGCTATTACACTTCCTCCTCACTATCTAGTTATTGACATTTCACATTTACGATAGTAAAACGATTTTAGACTATTCTGTTCATTAACCATATACAACTGGCAGTAATGAACACCAAGGTACAAGGCTAGAGTAACACTGGCTGTAATGGTTAAGGTTATGTGTCAACTGGAGTGGGCCATGATTTTCAGTGGTTTAGCAGTTAGGTAATGATGTCATTTAGCAATTATGTAGTGATATATTCATCTTCCCTTTTGCGATCTGATGTGGTCATCCTCCATTTTCATGTAATATTAATTTTTACATAATGGCTTGGTCTTAGGAGCCTAACTATGCTATAAGTGAGAAGTAGGTGTAGTTATATTACTGCCTATTAGATTACTTGAGATAACTCCAAAGTTACTGTGCATTAGGAAATTTTTAATAGCCTGTGTGTTCAAACCAGCAGAGTTTAGCCAACATAGATATATGCATCTGGAATTAATTTTATTCTCAAGCCTCATTTACATCTTTGATCTGACATTTAATTATATTTTGGAAAGGTTTTATATTTATACCAATATTTAATAAATGTTCTTGACTTATCTGTACTTAACTATTTGTATATCCTGATGTCAATCAAGAAGATAATTAAATGAAAATCTAATCACACTGAAATTTGTAATAAAGTACTGCTTCTAGCCCACATATTTTTCATGGATTTGGGATTTCATCATAACTCTTAAAACCGATTTAATATGCTGTTTGAAATGATGAGAATTACTTAAAGTCAATTTCCTGTATTTTAAAATAAAACTTTCTTTGGAAATCAATGCTCTGCCATATAACTAATCTTTTTCAACAAAACAGAATTAACGAGTCCATATTTTTCAAAAGTGCAAAACCTGAACTTGGAGCATACATGAACAACAACCATTTAAGTAATATGGAATAAACAGTCCTAACACTACTTATAGGACTTAACACTTTTTCACAGGTATTACTCTTAAAACATTTATGCATACCTAATCAAAACGACATCTCAGTAAGGAGAGACCAACTCATAACACAGGATTACCATAACAGCAGTGGATCCGTAATATGAAAGAATTTAGAAAAGTTAATTTAGAGCTCTGTCCTTGAAAACCAAAATTCTGAAAGACTGTGACTTGACTAAAAAAACTGCATCTAGCTAAACTACCATGGACAGCAAGTAGTAAAAAATAGATTAGAAAAAATTACTAGAGATCAGTATCTATCAGAAAATAATTTCTAACAAAAGCTTTCAGAAAAGTTTCCATTATAGATCAGAAAAGATGAAATGGTATTTATGTCTACTATCTTCAATAATCAAAAGCCTAATTAGCCAGAGCTCTCAGAATCACTGATTACATTCAGCTGTAAGTTTCCATTTTGGACAAATCATACTTTTAAAGCTATAAAATCTTATTTATATTTTCAGTTAATTTTCATTTATGGTAAAAAAAAAAAATTTTTGCTGATGTACCTAAATTTCACAAATTATGATTTTTCAGTAAGTAACTCCATTTTCTCTCTGAAGTTTCATACAGGATTTGTCATCTGTTCACTGACAATGTCATGCACACAATCAAGAACAGTAAATACTTACTTTGCAATAGGTATTACTATGGATATGGTCTGATTTGCTTATTGTTCATGACTTAACAATCTTTTTCTCTATAGTTTTTGCTTTTGTTATTCCCAGGAAAGTAAGATATGTTGTGGAGCCTTTAAGTATTTTAATAAGTACAAGTAAAGTTAATATTTAGGACAAAAGGTCCTATGGCTTCATTTACTGATTAACACTTGTCTTTTCCCATTAAACTACTCTTTGCATTCACAATTTATAATATACATATGCAGTATTTTTCCAATAAAATTATCATAAGATAATTAAAATTCCAAAGACAAATGACAACACATACTATCATGTGTTAGAAGACATATTTCTATCCACAATGTAGACAGGAATACAAAAAATACTACTTTGATTTTAACAATAATATATAAGACAGCTCCTTTTAATCAGAAAAGATGACATGAAAGCAGAATGTCAGTCATAAAATAAATATTCAACACAAGCAGTGTTTTAATATTAGAATTCTGAGGCTGAGTTATTCTGGAAAGTTCAGAAATCAGAAAATACATATTGTACCATTTTAAGAATGCATAATTGATAACCATTCTTTTCTTCAAGTAACATATTGGAATATTTTATCAGAAACTAATAACAAATTAAAATCAATGTGTACTTTACTGAAGCACTGTATATAGAGAGCTTTGCCTCAAATACTCAAGGCATTTATTGACCAGCTTTCAATATATAATTAGACAATTCAAACTAATGCTTACGATAAGAATTTTATTCTACAAATAAAAGACAAAGTGCTCTAACTTATTAGGCCACAAATGCTTTATTAGATGAAATTACAAATGTTAATTACAATTTTAAAATACTACGTGCAACTTAGATTTTTTCCAGCATTGTTTTATGCTTAAAAGTCAAATATAAGGAAATAATGTATAGTCAGAGCCCTAAATTAATTTTTAAATTTTCTACTATGACAAATTTAAACAAAAGTAAAAATTGTGTTTATTCTTACAAAAAAATGCAGTATGTTTACCACTATATACTTCAAAAGTGTAAAAACAAAATACAGCAATCAGCACCATATATAGAAACTACACAGAAGCAAATGAGAAATCAAATGTGCTGCAAGTCAGCAGATCTTTATTGTCAGATTGAAATAAGAGGAACACTCTTATACAAATAGTAAGAATCCATGATGTGACAATATTCTGTATGGGATGTTTATAAAAAGGAGAATTGAGTTTCATGACAAGCAATAAACATCTCATTTAAAAATAAAACAAAATTTTAAGCACAAAAGTGTCTTATATTCTGAATTTGTCTTTTGGTCAACAGTGATGGAACACCACTGCTAACTCAGTATCCTTGGGGCAGTGATTACTTGCCAACTACATAACCATCACCGAAAAAGCAGGAAAAATCATTTAGGCTTGGTACAGTTGATGCTAAAGCACACAAAGTAGTACAATACTTTAACATAACTGACAATCTGAATTTAAAGTACATTCTTCTATAAATGGATGATAACCATCTACAATGAAGAAACCGGAGAAGTGAAAAGACGTATGCTTTACAAAGTTTCTGGGATGACTGAGTTCTTAACTTAAATTGTTCATGCAACTCAGAATGTATTGTCACAACAGGAAATACTTCACAATATCTAAGTGATCTATCACACTGTAACATGTGTTATATGTCTATGACAATAAAGTGAAAAATGTCCTCAAGTAATCTTTTATTTTAGAAAAAAGAAAGATCTAGTCTTTTATTACCTCATATTTTTTGGTATTAAGATCAGGTATTACTTATCAAGAGACTATCCCACCTACTGAAAACTTATTTTTAACATTACAAGCCTGTAAGTCAGAGAGATATAAAATAAAGTTTCATTTTATACAGTATCTATTATAAAGTATAAGAAAATACTTAGAGCATCTACATGCAATTAAATAATGAGTGTGACATCCAAACTATAGTTTCTGGGTAAGTAACAAATGTTTCTTCAAAATACAACTCTCAGTATTACAAGAGAGGAATTCCCCCAAAACAGAGGTACACTTAAGGGGACAGCTAACCTGATTCAGAATCACTGCTGTCTGAAGAACTCGAGTCACTGCTACTGCTTTCAGACTCTGATGAGCTGCTGCTGCTACTGCTGCTGCTGCTGCTGCTACTGCTGCTGCTGCTGCTGCTTTCACTCAGTCGGGAACCACTTCCGATTGCCTTGGCTGGCTGAGTTTTTCCAGCTACAAGACAGGGAAGCAAATTAAAATGCCAATAAAATTAAATAACCTGAACAACATTTTAAAACTGTAACTCACCTTTTGTTTGACGTTTTCCAGAATTTAACTGATTATTGACATCCATTAACCGCTTTTCTAACTCCTCTTTTTTCTGTGCCAGAAGTTCTTCTTTGGACTTCATTATTTTCTTAGCTGTGTAATTCAGGAGGTAAAAAACAAAACCAAACCCTGAGTATAATCAAAAACCAACACGCATACCAGCCTGATTTCTATTAATATACAGAAATACATACCATGAGGCTTTAGTGGTCTTTTTCTTAGACATCCTGCAACGTATTTTTCTAGTTCTCTCAGTGTTGATGCTTTCAGTGTTTCAAAGTCTATCTCTATCTCGTCAGGGTTGGAATTTCTCAGTGAAGGCTCTCTTGAGTGTATTATATGAACTATTCGCCCAAGTTTATCTCCAGGGAGTTTGTTTATATCCAAACTTAACTGTCTTTTCTCATCATAATTCATAGGTTTAGCATTATCTTCAACTTCAGATTTCAGAGGAAGAACCTGTTGTTTCCTCTTCTTCGGCTGACTGTAACAAAACTTAAATTTAGTCTAATTTATTTTAGATAATGGTATGTTTTAACAAGCCATCATAAAAGATACTTACTTATTCTTGGGCTTTTCCTTTAGTTTCACTTGCTTGAACATTTGCATTTGCTTAAACTTTTTCCTTGGATTTTCATCTCTGTTATTAAACTCTTCCTTTTTCTTTTCCCTTTTAGACTTCTCATTCTTTTTCTTTAGCTTATGAACAGGTACCTGGGATAGAACCTGTAGTTGTTGATGAACAGCTTTAAGCTGATAAAGGAAAAAGTCTTTAAACATTCATGGCTCCAAATAATTAAAGACACTACAAAAAATGAAGGTATTCAAAAGTCAAGAGTATCCTTTGTGAAATATATTACATTTCCTTTGAGTTATTTCACAAACTCATTGTTTTGAAGGGCATACATTAAACTATATACCCTATCATGTGCTCAACCCACAGACATGAATATTCATCTACAGCAGGACAAGAATAATTAATGTTTCTTGGTACTCAAGTTTTTAATAATTGAATTTTCAGGTTTGAGCTCAGAGCAGATTAACACTTTATCACAAAAGGTAGCAAATGTTAAAAAAGGTTTCATCCACAAAATATCTCAAAATATGTCATGCAAATTGTTTCAATATTTATATTCTTAACCACTAATTATTGTTGTTAGGAATATAAATATCAGAACTTTTAAGATACAGAGCCTTTTGAACTTGAAAGACTATGAAACATTACAAATGTGCTAATAAGCGAATGAAGCCATAGCTGCTAAGTAGTCTAAATACAATAGCTTTTAATCTTCAAGAAGGATTTTATAACTGATCTATCAGTAGTAGCTCAGAAGAAAGGAGTATCAAAACTTGTATCAATACAATAAAATACCTGCTCCTGAAGCTTTGCAAGACGTTGAACTTGTTCATCTTGAGAATCATCAGAAGCGTTATGTTTAGAGGAAGCATCACCATTTTCTCTAGCAAGGATTTTTGTGGCATCTGTTTTGATGTAACATACAGGCATACTCTCAACAGGTTCATCTGGGATCTTTGCAAAATGGAATTCAAAAACATCCTATAATGGAAAAATTAGACTGTGAAGGTTTTCTGCATTTCTAACTCAATGCTGCAATAATATATTTTAACGGAGGGAGTGTTTTAGTATCATATTTTGGTCAGAATTTTTTTCCCATTTAAGATTTGAGAAGACAAAACAAAAAAAGATAGGAGAAGAAGAAATATAGTAAGCACAAAACATAAGCAAAAAGACACATGCTTCCCTCTTTACCAATCTTAGCAACTTTTCTCTTTACTAGACAAGACAGCCTTCTGGACCTCTCAAGTTATATAGGGGGCCCTCTTTTCAATGTTTTCTGTCCTTTAGTTGGTACATCATTCTACTACTCCCCAATGACTCAGCTTCAAAAGTTCATGGCCTTCCTTTCAGTGAGATATGGCTCCAGTTAACCCTATCATAGATATCATCTGTCCCTTCTTCACTAATATTTCCCCAATTTCCTATGCATCCAAGGCAGCTTCATTGAAATATGTGCTAGTAAAAGATGTTATATATTTAAAACAAACAAACAAACAAAATCCACACAGTTTTAAAAATATAATTTATGAAACTGTTGTTTACTGCTTGGAGTTGGGTATATGTCAGTGCTATTCTTTATCTTTTGAATTACGGTTCTAAAATTTCATGTTCAGAGCAAACTCGCCTTCAGAGCACAGTAACAACTCACCTGGAGCATTCTTGCCATTGTCACTATTTCATGATCTGGAGGATTGTATTTGAAGCAATTCATGAACATTAATCTAACATCTGCAGCAAATTCATATGCATCCTTATATTCTTGGTTGTCCATTTTTCGCTAAATGAAGAGAAAATTACAGGACTCACAAACAACCTAGTTCAATTCAATCATTTGAGCACTTACATTAAGTGTTTATATTATGAAATAATTCAAACACACAGAAAATACTGAAAAACAGATACTTACTACATAGATTTGACAAATGTTAAAATTCTGCTATACTTGTTTTATAACTTTAGACTTTGAAAATGCAATGCATTTTGACAAGCAGAGATAAGAAGGGATATGTTACATGTAAAGAAAAGTACAGGGGGGAAAAATCACAAAAACAGGAAGATACAGAGTGTTTTCAGATAATCTTGGGTAGACAAGTTTTGTAGTAGGAAAGCAGTTAAAAAGATGAACCTTTTAAACCAACTTTGAACACCTGAATGAAGAGTTTATGGTTGAAGAAAAAAATGTTCTACAAACATTTTTGTAGGAAGAAAACAGTATTTCTAAATTAGTGTTATTTTACAAACTATGCAATTTTATACAGGTATTAAAAACATATGGCGGGGCTTCTGGCAAGCTGGTGGACTAGGCAGAAGGA